ACACACACACACACACACACACACACACACACACACACACACACATAGAGCGAAGTATTATAAGTATATTAATAATTAGATGCAGATAGAAGTAAGGAATGGGTGAATATGTGGTTAAGGAATATAAATGTAAACCAGGTCCTCTTCTAATTAACATATTTTTATAGCTACATAAGCTATACAAAGCTAAATAATGAAAAATATATATATATCAAAATAAATGTAAAAATATATATCAACATAACTTGTTATTTTAAAAAGTTATACTATATTATAGTTGTTATTATAGAAAATAACAAAAGTAAATGTGAGCTAACAAGTGATAAAGTTGAATGTAGAAGAAGCACTTCTTTTATATACTGTGCAATAACATGCTTTGCATATTTATCCTCTTATTATTCTTACATATTAAAATGTATAACATACAACATTACCATGTGTCAAGTCTGATTTATCAGGACTTAGTATGCTTGTACTGGTATTTAGTCTACTTCTTCTGCTTACAGTTGATTTCAAAGTATGTTGGGAAACTTTAGTATTCATTAATACTGTGTTCTTTGGTATGTGACTATAATATATATAGTTAATGATATAAAATAAAAAAATTTATATAGTTATATTTATTTTTTCTTATTCTCTACAGAATTTTCTGCATTGTATTACTCACCTTATCTTATTAGATCTACAATCAGATTTAGTAGAAGATTCGTCATCAATTATTAACTGCAAATTGTATTTTTTTTCAGGTTTTAATTGAAGCATCTCATCATATTGAATTAATGCTGGATACGAAGCATGTAATATAACACTAAGTTCTTTTAATTTGGAAGTATTTTGTGTAGTTTGTTGCTTCTTTTTATTTCGTTTTTTTTTACGATTTTTCTTTTTATTTCGTTTTCCTTTATGATTGTCCATTTTATTATTGTAAAATATATTCTATATATTAAAAATAATATTTTATTATTAAAGTGAATATTTTGCGTATTAAATAATGTACATATTCCCAATTACTAATGAAATTATTCATATGCTCCAAAAGCAGTCGTCTTTGTTATTTTTGTACTATAAAATATTTTGCTTTGTCAGAATATAATTACATTGTGTAAAAGCATTGTAAGCATTCGTGAATTGTAAAACTAATAAAAACATATCAATATATGCCTCTGGAAATGCAATAGCAAGAAAATACAATTACACATAACATCCAGTAGGAGAAAAACTACACAATGTTCGCATAGACTAATATAAACTTAATAAATAGATTTTAGTATGAAGCAAAATACTGAATATAGACACTAAATTATATTACTGGGTTATTGTCTATGTCTATAATAAATAATAATGTAAATAATAATGTAAATAATTAACATATTTTTCGTGTAGTCTTTCCCATATCATATATCACTCTTCTACTTGTTACCTTAGTCAGGGAGATAGATATATATGTCTACCTATTCATGTCTATTTAATCACACGTATATACTTTTTAACTTATCGTCTCTTAAAACTTTATAATACAAGGTATCGACTGTAAGCTACTCACACGTGAAACACAGTGTTTACCGCGAAAATATTCACGTTCCATTTAAATTCGAGAATCGCAATCATTGGTATCGATATATCGGCTATAGTTACGTCAGGCCGTGTTCCACTAGGGTGCGTTCAAATGGAAAAAGAAATAGCGAAACGGAATAGTTACGGGAAAGAGATATGGAGGGGGTCAGTCAATCAGAGTAATTCCGTTTTTATTCCGTTCTATTGTTTAATAGGTAGGTTTCACATGGCACAGGACTGTTACGGAATGGAACAAAAACGGAAAACATTCTAACCTATCAACATAAAAAATTTTACAATTTTCGATCAATCGTTACGCCATTTTTTTCGTAAATAGAATGGAGTAACTGTGATTGGTGCGCGCGTTCCGTTCCGCTAAGAATTTCCGCCTAATGGGACATCGGCCTTATGGTTCCTGCATACAGGACGCGGTAATATTTGCCGCGCGGCGGAAGTTCGCGCAATAACCAATCAATATGCTGCTTTCCGTAATAATCTTCTAGCTCTTACGGAAAAGCAACATATTGATTGGCTGTCGCGTGAACTTCCGCCGCGCGGCAAACATTACCGCGTTCTGTATGCAGGAACCATAAGGCTGCGTTCCGAAATTCACTGCCAGTGCTGAAATTCTATACGTAACATGAACTATAGATTTTCAGTACTGGTAGTGAATATCGGAACGCAGTCTTAAGGCCAAATGATGGTATGATACGGGCTTTAAAGGCCAAATCACAATTGCGATTAGCGATTGATGATTGACGATTGAAGATTAGATTTTGACGAATCAACGAGCTTCAACTATGGCTTGCTTTGTTCCAATTTGTCAAGTTCCAATCTTCAATCGTCAATCATCAATCGCCAATCGCTAGTGTGATATGAGCTTTAAGATTTATGATGGTCGTAATCTTTGACTTGGTTTACATCGTGCACTTAATACGCGTACTAAATAGTAATTTTCTATTAGATAATATTAATATCGACGATATATATAAACAACGGTATATTAAGCTGGTATAATACTCATCAACAAAACGTATTGTATTGATAAAATGCGTCGCTATTGATATGCATTATCGATATTAAGATTACCTAATAGAAAGTTACTATTTAGTAAGCGTATCAAGTGCACGATGTAAACCAGGTCTATATAACCATGGGCCGCTAGCCGCTATCTTATGTCTGCAGCAAAACGTCTGTCAACATCTGCAGCGCCGCCAGGACCAAACCACGACCATTACGTAAACTATCACATACTTGTGATTTCTATCTTACCATATGAGAGATATTTTGTGTGTGTGTGTCATACGGAATTTGTGTGTGTATCTTACGGAAAAATAACATATTGATTGGTTGTTGCGCGGACTTCCGCGTCCTGTGTGTAGGAGCCATAATTCTTTTTATTACTTCTACTATGGGTGCTTTCAAATTGCTTAACACACTTGAAACACACGTACACAAACCAGTTTATTGGTCACATATTATCTAAAATATCTTGTAAGATAATATGCAACCAATAAACTGGTTTTGTGTGACAGTGTACGCAACTGGAAAGCACCCTATACTATTAGGTCTTTCCAATACGTATCACCATATGATACGCGGATATTAGAAGCATTTACGTTGCTAACTCTGTTTTGCTCTACTAAGTTCTTTCTTTTGCCGTTGTTTGGTCCTGGCGACGCTACAGATGTTGACAGACGCTTAGAATCGCCATTAGCGGTTCATGGTTATATAGTCAAAGGTCGTAATCTGTAACTTATGCCGGGATCGTAAAAAATTGGCCAATCATAATCATAGAAATCATAATTATAGAAAAATAGTTGACTGTGATTGGTTAATTTTTTACGATTCCGGCATAAATTAACAGATTACGGTCATCATAAACGGTTTTTGGTGGAAAGAGCAACTCAGGAAGCGCTTAATAATTATCGTTCCTGATTGATAAATACTTCTGATTCTATGAAGAATTTAAAAGAATATTCCAGTCACAGACAACAATGGGAGCATTCAGTAGAAAAAGCGCTCAGTGAGCAATCAACGATTATTGGTTCTTGCTA